CTCGTTTTGTTTTTCGTAGTCTAACCAGATCCTTGTAACGAATCTTTGGTCCGAATCTCCTTGGAATAAATTCATATGAACATTTAAGTCTACACTTACTTTAATTTTTACAACCCTTGAGAAAGGCATGTTGCAATCAAGCAAAAAAAGTTTATTGTATGAGTAAAGTTCTGGCTTTGCTACTCTTCCACGCACTGGAATGAGCGATTTTGCCTTTCGATACCGAAAATGAAAATAAACTTGGCCAATAAATGACGAACTCGCGACGTCATAGTCTTTCTTGGGTGGATGATATTATACAGTTAATGTCAGTTCCCGAGGGAAAATAGTTAGTTTCGTTTTCTCGTGAGTCCTGATGGGCTTGAGAAAAAACAAATAAGTAAATTCAAGCGTATCACAAAACGAAGAACCCTTTCGAATTGAAAATTTCTCGGAATATTTTTTTGTTGGTTGGTTGGTTGTTTTTAGTCAGCTGTTTAGTTGCTCTGATACTTCAACTCAAGAGTATCGCAATTCTTTAGTTTGAATGTTTGATGACGTCATGTGAAACCAGCAACATTTAAATTTATTCAAGGCCATGTGACCAAAACTCCGCCAATGGTAGTCCCTGTTTTTTTTAGTGAAAGTCGAGGAATATAACAGTTTTGTTATGTGATAATCCTACCTCGGCAAGATCCGCTGTCCAGTTGTAACTCGCAGCCACTGCAGTTTTGTTTATTTTATTCATTTATTTTTTGAACAATATTTATTCAGGGGAGCCCAGTTCAGCGAGGCTGGTTTGAATGGGGCCCTGATGAAAAGAAAAAACAACACAAAAAAACAACAACAGATAAAAAAATTAGAACAACTAAGTATAACGAAAGCATTGGAGGCTCAATTTGGCTTGGATCTAAAGTGCCTTTCTATGCCAAACCCAAACTTATTTAAATCATGATCAGGGCCAGAGGAAGCGTGTTCCAGATCTTGGCTCCGCTGAACCTGAAGGAGCCCTGGTACTTAGTTGTCCTAGCTGACGGCAGACGGAGCAAATCTCTATGGCGCGTGTTATATGAAGGGAAATCGTGTGCGTGGCTAATATCATTAAGTAGATATGCTGGAGCCAGGCCATGAAGCATGCACTTTAGATAGTCCCGGCGGGACTGGAGCGTAGGCCAACCGAAAGTGTAAGATATCAGTGATTGTGAGACTGCGTAGCCCTCAAAAATACTGGTGGCGCGCCTATGCAGCTTATCCAAGAACTCTCGGTCAGCCTTAGTGCAGGAGTCCCATACGACAGCGCAACAGTCGAATACTGGAGGCATCATGGCGTTATATAGAGGATACTACACGTTGGCGCGAAGATATGAATTTTATTTTCCAGTGGCAAAACAATATTTTACGAACGAGCGCAGCGAGTGAGTAGAGTATTGTTTTTGCCACTCGAAAATATAATTCATATCTTCAAGCCGCCGTGTAATGTTCTTTTTATTATACAGACAAAAGACATCGATAAAATAATAGACTTTTATCCGCCAAAAAGTAATTGTGACGGCTCAAATTTACAGTCCAGCAATATAAGACATTGTTTACAATAATCTAACACTGAGCTGAATAGGGCTTTACAATGACAAAATATAAGCAAAGCTATGAAAAATGTGTAAGTAAAATTCAAAAGACGCAAGACGCTTAGTACAAATTTCTAACGGAAATTACGGAAATTACGTCATCGATAAACTCACTTGTGAGATTATGGAAAATAATTAAAACCACTCGGGTCCCGGATGTAGTTTTTATGAATGTTACGAGTGGTATATTTTCCAGTAAATCACTCATGTCTATATAATAAAACGTGTTAAACACGACTTACGCGGAATGACCTTGCGCGCTTTACGAAGCATTCCGAGCTTTATCGAAATTTTGCGCCCGAAGTGGTCTATGTGGTCATTCCACGAGAGGTATGGATCCAGCATAACGCCAAGATACTTAAACTGATAGACTTGTGACAGGACAGTGTCCCCTGCCCTGACTGTGAAACTATCAACTAGGGAAAGCCTCTGATGTGTACCAGTCAACACTACCTTAGTTTTGCTATAGTTAAGGTAGAGGAAGTTATTATTAAGCCACTCTATTATATTCTTAAGATCTTCGGATAGCATAGATTCTATGTCGGAGATGGAGCTACTGATAACGCATAGGAGGGTATCATCTGCATACAACTGGATTTTACAATGCATTATCACCGAAGGTACATCTAAGATGTAGGTTATAAACAACAAGAGACCGATCAGGACCCTTGCGGGACTCCAAACGAAACGGATTGGAGATCAGATGTTGATCCATTCACTACAACGCTTTGTGTCCTATCTGTCAAGTAAGCTTTAAACCATTGTACGGAAGCCTTACTGAACTCTAGTGATGCTAACTTATCCAATAATACACTATGATCAAGAGTATCAAAGGCCTTAGTAAGGTCTAAAAAGACTAGGCCTGTGATTTGACCTTTATCAATGTTCTGAAGCAAGGTGTTCTTGATATCAGTCAGGCACGTGCTGGTGGATTGGAGACTACGAAAGCCGGACTGGTAGACAGAGAGCAAATTGTGTTGCCACAAGAATGTATATACCATCTTGTACACTGCGCGCTCAAGGATTTTGTTGAAGACCGGCAGGACTGAGATCGGTCTATATATAGTTAGCTGGATTCGTTCTAGAGTCAGATTATGCACAGGCTTCACAGTCGCATGTTTCCACTCCAGTGGTATTGAGCCTTCAGCGAGGGACCTGTTCATGAGCACAGTCAGGGGTTTTGCTATCGCGCCATGAACCGTCCTTAAGGAGACGTGCGGGAATATCCACGAGGCAGGTTGATTTAGAAAAATGAAGACATGTGGGGGGTGGGGGGAAGGGGAATCGCGAAAGTCATTAAATGTTTTTAGGGGGGAATTAAGTCACTGAAGTAACATTCAAAGGGGGGATCGGCTAAATTTCACCTTGTTTAGGCCCAAATCCTCCCCCCTCGGGGGAAGAGATTGCGGTAGTCTTATTCTACGAGCATGACATTCAGCCACATTCCGCATCTTAGCCACTCCCCTCCCCGCCCCCACGTTTACGCTCCTCGTTTGTCGCTTGCTCCTTTACGTTTCCTTTGTTTTTCTATCTTGCGTTACTTCTAGCTATAAGGAATAAACCCAAGGAACTCGAGACGTGGTATTCAGGGGAACTGAAACAAACCTTCCTCAGTACTCCTTTATTAAATTTTCTGCTAAACTGGTTTTACAGTCTTGTAAGCGGTCAACATATTGCTGACTCGAAGTTTCTATTTAACTTCCATCAACATTTTTATAGTTAAAGAAAGCCTTGCCTTACTTATTGTAAACTCATAGCATTCGGTTAATCTTATGCATACTACTTATTATAACTAACATGCATTGAGGCAAAAATAAACAAGAAGACAGCTGCTCAAGTAGATTAAGGCCTAGGTATAAGTCATTTATGGTTTTTATACAAATTTTCTTAGGAATGAAGCAAAGTAATCTAAACTTAATTACTTGGTCACGTGATCGACCACGCCCTCTATTGTTCGAAAACTGTAACCAACGATTCTCACCACTTGCCAAACGTGCAGCACCAGTTTCTCTGTATAAAAAAGTTGACCCTAAAAAGTGTCTACGAGATCAACTCGGAATGGTTCGAAGCGTTACAACTGGCTGCTGCAGCTGGTCTTCATTGACTAAAGTCAGTCCTAGCTAAAATTTTCGTCAGGAGAAAGACGTTTATTGACCTAGCCTCATTTCGACCGTTTTTGCTAGAAGACCATTAGCAGTGGCGGGTCCGGACCAAACTGAGGCCCGAAGAGCCAAAATATTTTTTAGAGACTGGCCCTCCCCCTTATATAAGGGTCTGAATGACCGCCCCCCCCCCCCCCCCCCTCCCCCCCATCTCGAGGTCTGGATCCGGCAGTGATTAGTAGCCACTACCACTATTCGAACCTACAAAAGGAAAATGATCCGCTCTGTATCTTTAGGGCATTTTGACTCAAAGGATTTCTCTATAAAAAGAGGGCGTGGCTGGTCATGTGATGCAGTTTAAAAAAAAATTTTTTCAAGTCAAATTAGAAGATTTCTTGGTTATTCTTGGCCTTAAATTATTGGTGGTTTTCAGTGTCACGCCATTCAAAATAGATCAAAATAAAACTCAAAACCGTTTAATAGTTAAAGTCCAGAATCTAGGAAATAAAGGAGCTAAATATCTAACCCCCTCGCCAAGATTCAGGTCAAAGGAATATTTCGTATACGAGATATCTGGAGAAATGTTTTGCCCAAATTTATGGAGATTTGTATGAAGACGCCATGCTAGTGCCCATCCGGATGGGCACCAACATGGCGGACGAAAACTAACAGAAAAAAATGTATCAAAGTTTTGTTACAAAAGCGTGAACTTATTCCTCGAGGAACTCATGAACATTAAAGCAATGATTTTTTAATACATGAACTGTTTAGATAACAAGATTCTCCGAAACAAGTCATTTTTTTTATCTACATGACAGCTCTCTCGGTCGTTATGCAAATGCCGCGTCACGCAAAAGCTTAGAAATTTAAGCGTACTCTATCACAAAACCAAGAACCCTTTCGAAGTGAAAATGTGTATGAAAATTTAAAAACTGTAAAATCTTAGTAGGCTCGATGGTTTAGTACTTTAAATTTTAGTGACGTCATGTGGCTACCCCGCTTAAAAATCATGACAAATGTGAAAAGACCCAGCCCTTAATCTTGCTTGAGTGAATTAATGTCGCCCCATGTAAGGTGATCCGGATTCCGGAATCAGTGAACATTTTGCATGTGGAATCGGAAATCCTTGGCTTTGGAATCTGGAATTCTGCGAAAGGAAGCCGGATTCTGTTACCAATTGGAATTCGGAATCCATGTTCCAGTGACAAAGAATCCACAATCCAGTATCTGCAATCAGAAACCTACAGCGTGGAATCTTGGATTATCTTACATGGGGCGAATCAACAGGCTACCTTTAGTCTAGATAGGCAACATGGGCACCCCAGGGATTAATTGTGCGCCATCCATTGTTGCTACCTCCCCAGCCATAATGTAGATAGAACTCGTAGTCGTAGGCTCTTCTCCAAGAGCACACTGATTTGGTTTTCTTCCCCCACCACAATCCAGTTTGCCTGCTGGTGCAATGACGATAACTTCTAACCTTTTCCCGGTATTTCGTTGCGACAGCCGAATGTCCGCCACCTTCCACGGGAAAGCCAAAGACTACCGGATAGTCCTTTTTGAGCCATTCAACACCTTTGGACTGAATCCAGGACCTGCTTCCATACTCAACTCTTGCACCGCCGACACTCCTCTTTTTTCGTCTCTCGAGATAGCTGACGAATCGAGCTCTGTAACCTTGTCTCGCGCGAAACCATGGGGCGATCAAATGCATTTTTTTTGTGTAGGTGGAACCCGCTCCTGTACTTGTACAGTATGTTTCGACCTGTGATCGAATGTCCTCCACGAAGGGTCGAACTGCATATGTCATCTTTAATGGGGCCATGATGTATCGATCTTCAAATAGCGATGAACTATAGGATGAGTAAAAACTGTGTGCTAGTCTATCGTAGTACCCAAACACCTGAGCCCAGGCCACCGGACTGCATCCACTCCAGCAATTGCCACAGCACCTGTGTTGGTTATAGTCAGGGAAATTACTGCTTTCACCAGAAACAGATCCTGTACAAAATTTGCTACACGAAGATCTGCGAAACCGTTGAGAATGCAGATTAATTGCAAAGTACTTTTTAACCAGTTCATTTTCGCGTCCTTTTATTTCGATCACAAATCCAATCTCACGCCACTGTAAAGTGTTTCCCACGAAGGTGCGATTGCCATGTACCTCCAGCTTCAGATATGATAGATGATTGGTTGTTTCCTTTATAGCTGATGGATTCACCTTGGAACTTCCGTTTAGAAGACAAACGTCAACAAGCACCTTGCAGAGTTTCCGCTGCCACTCTGATCTAGATTTGGGACGCATGCGCGTGTTACCGCCGTTTTTAATGTAAACGCCAACCGATCTGACGCGCTCACCTAGCGCCACTTTAACGATGGAGCCAGGCATAAGGACTTTGTCGTCAATTTCTTTCTTAAAACTTTTTCCCCCTTTTGTTAGAACTTCCGTGGTGACCCAGTCTGTCTGTGACCGCCTATGTGCTGCCCTCTCTCGCCACATCCTCTTAAAGTTGTCGATACTGTCTCTCACCATTTGATCCAGCTGTAGCCAGTCTTCAATCTGCATTTTAAGCAAGAAGGAGAAGTTGGTTTAGACATTCTACTGATTTAAAGAAGTAATACTCCAGTAAAACCACAGTTTAAGAGGTCCAGCCTCGTAGGGAAAGTGGCATCATTTAAAACGGTCGCCACCATTGATTTAATCAGAAGGTCAGATTAATCAAATATATTTTTGAAAATGGGAATTTTTCATGGTCGAGGCTTAATATCATAATTAATCTTACCATCTTGCTGCTTTGCAGGTACTCATTTGTACCTTTTTTGCATACAACAACTTGCTTTAAAATTGCTTGGGTTCGCGAGACTTTTGACGTCATAACTGTACCGTAAGCATAAAAATCGACTTTCACTATAGATTACTGAAAAAATTAATGAAGGACGAGCTACTGCCGAAAAGCGGGCCTCGGCTACATAACGTTCTGCAAAAAAATAAATCAAAGGGTGAAAACGTTTGTAGATTTTGAGTTTATTACAAACACAGGGGATAAGATATTATAACTTCGGCAAAGAGCATGCAACTGAATCGAAATTTGGCGTACTTAATAAGTCATGGTTTTAACGTTTTAAAGTATATTTTAAAAAAAGAAATCAAGTAATAACATCTTTCTAATTCATTTCAAATATTTCAAATACTTCACGTTTGTTATTACTGTAATTTGCACTTCAATACAATTGTGAGGACAAGCATCATTTTCATTGCCCAAATTTAACCTTGAATTATTCAAAACTTTCATTTTAATTTTCGAGTACATTAATTCTAAACGTAGAAAGTGAAGTATGTTTATCCTCTATCAAAGTAAATTCACCAGGAATTCACCAATTTTCAGCTTAAATTTTTGGTCGCACGAAGCGTCACGTGACAACAATTATATGTTAAGACACAAGATTGCCTCGAGGTTTACTTTTTGGGAAAATTGCATCTTGTTCTAGATATTCGAGCGGAAATAATTAGCAAATGTATCATACATATAATCAGAATATACTGGTAACCAGTTGATTATTTTTCGTGAATCGAGGGATTTTTTTGTCAAAGGTAGTTTTAATTACATAGCTATATTTGGTTATTTCAAGAAAAAAAGGTTAGTATTTGATCCCCGTCTTTATAGGGGCTCTTGTTTTAGCCTTGCCTTACCACTCTAACAAAACATCAGTAAATTAGACGGAAGTCTTGTAATTTTTGATGACGTCATGTGAAACCAGCAACATTTGAATTTAGTCAAGGTCATGTGCCCAAAACTCAGCCAATGGTAGTCCCTGTTTATTTGATTAAGAGTCGAGGAATATAACAGTTTTGTAATGTGATAATCCTACCTCGGCAACATCCGCTGTCCAGTTGTAACTCGCAGCCACAACAGTTCCATTGTCATTCTTACATATTGTCAGTCCCAATGGTGACAGGCGGTAAAACTTCTCACACTGCTGACCGTTCTCTTGAGCCTGTTGAATGAGTAGGTTGGTTGGTCTTGGGTCTGGGCCACTCTCTACTTCTCGAAAATCTCCGGTTTCACGCCCAGAGGAGAATACCACGTAGTCACTTCCGATGTCAATTTCGTAATACGCTACGTAATCTGGGTTAAGGTCCAGTCTATAGATTGGACGAGTGGGTCCAAGGTCATCGGACACATTAACTTGATTAAGGTTTCTGTAGTCATCAATGTCACTGAGTTCTATTATGGTGTCAAAAACCTCATACGGTAACTGTATGGCGGTTATCCCGGGTGCAAAGGCGATGGTGATTAAAAATGAAAAATAAGCTTGCAGGCTTTTTGACATCTTACCTTGAAGAGTAAATAAGCAAATAGCCGTTAATTAAAGACACTGAATAATCGATGTGTGTCTTTCTTCCTTGGAGGCCGAGGCTTCAACGACTCAGGCAGAGCGTGATACGATAGTGAGCCCAATTTATGGCTTTTAGGAGGGGCAAAACCCAGATCAACTTGAATTGTAATTGCAAGTATTATTTGCTGGCCGCGTTTAAATACAACACAATGTACAAATTTAGTAGTGTCGAGGCATACTAAAGGAAAAAAACACACTTCTAGTCGACGTTCGTCGCCTAAAAACACCTTTGCTTAAAACTTTTTATTAAAGCAGAAAGCAGCTCAGTTCAGAAGATTTTATACATGCAGTAATGTTGATTCAGGGGGACTTAAAATTAGCGATTCATATAAGTTATTGTAGATTATTTTCGTGTAACTATACACGCGTATAGTTTGCGACCGCAGACGTCAGTGCCGGATCCACACCTTGAGATAGGTGGGAGGTAGGGGGGGTATGGGCGGTCTCAGAGGAAATAAGGGGGGGTCCCTGGATCCGCCACTGGACGTAATTCCAGTCGTCGCTAACACGCTTACTAAATCAATTCAGAAACATTTCGTCGAATATGGTGTAAAAAGTAAATATCCTGAAATACTCGACCGTCGATAAACTAAAGTAGAAGGTGAAAAATGTTTAGCGAGTAAATCCTAGAAGGTAAAAGAAGAAAACTGGCCACCGAAAAGACGTTTTCAGCTGGATCTGAATGTAGTTAAGCATAATCATTTCGATAACAATGGTATTGTTATATTTGGTTACTGTGATATCAGTTGCCATCATTACTTCGATATTATTGGAATAAATCGAACTAGAAGTAAGCATGATTATAAAATAAGGCCTAAAGTTGCCCGTACAAATTATTTCAAATATTCATTTTTTCATAGATATATTAATGATTGGAACTCTTTGCCCTCTGAAGTAATGTCATCTCCTAGCCTTCAGTCTTTTAAAGTTTCACTGATTAGGTACCTTCGTTCATAATTTACCTTAAAATACTAGGCATAGTGTCTTTAATATAAGTTTATGCATTATTATTAGGCATCTAGGTTTATAATTTATAGTCTAATTTATAGTCTTTTAAAATATATTTTTATATATTAATTAATTAATTTTTTTTCCTTTTTCTTTTTTGGAGGCTGTCTTAGAGCGGTTTTCACTTGACTGTCGTAAAACCAAAACCAAAGTAAATACACTAGCCAACCAAAGGGCGTAGTAAAACCAAAACCAAAACCAAAAACAATCCCTTTCGACAGTCAAGTGAAAACCGCTCTAGCATGGGAATTTGGTTTCCCCCTACTACCGTCCTGTTAACCATTCTTGTATTTTTGTTCGATTGTATATGTTAGTATTAGTTCATTTGTATCAGTTATGTATGGTTACGAACTGTGATTAAAGATTAACGATTAAAGAGGCAACGGCATTGTCTCGAAAAAGTTATTTTTTCCTGAAGAGACAATAAAAATTGAAACATCTTTTTAAAGAAAAAATGACTACCTGAACTCGAAATTCAAAAACACTATTCAAACTTTTCCGCTCTATTAAATTTATATATTTCACATTGCTGTCGTACCACGTATACATTTTTGTTTCCTTAAACCGGCCCCCCTCTAGAAACGTTTTCTGAATTGATAAAAAACGCCTAACTAACTGCTGGTGTAGGATAACTCTGAACTGCATTAACAATGTTTTTTTACTGTTGTGATTCACATTTTGAATTTTCAGAGGATTAAGTTATTTCAAGGAAATGTGATGATTAATTTGCTACATTTGGCTCAAGTGGTTTTTGAAAAAGGTTGTTATAAACTTACCTCATCTAATGAGCTACACTGAATGAAAGAACACTGTCGTACAACCACGTAGCGGCTTTCAGGATTATTCCAAAGTTCTTCAGTCTCATATAAGTCAAAAATTCAAATGCCTATATGGCCTGGTCTTCAAGGACCTTTATATGCTTGGTCAGTATACTCTAACCAAAAGAGCGCGTGATGCGGTTTTTCCTAATACTTCCCATGTTTTTGGCATTATTTAATATTTTGTTTATGCAGCGACACTACACATTGATAACCAGTTAGACTGAATGGAATTAGTTAACTAATTCCGTTAATTCCGTTCAGTCTAACTGGTAACTAATTCCGTTCAGTCTAACTGGTTATCAACGTGGTAGTGTCGCTGCATAAACAAAATATTAAATAATGCCAAAAACATGGGAAGTATTAGGAAAAACCGCATCACGTTCAAAAAGGGGATATGTCACGCTATTTGCTAGCTTTTTAAAAAGCTAAAACGTGTCTTAGCATCAATTCGCAATTCCAAAACTAATGGTTCAGTTTTGTTATTTAAGGCTATATATTTAGGCATTGAAATTGTTTCCTGTTGTCTGATGCAAAGAATGGCAAGGATTGACATGGACTGAGACGTAAAAGTTGGCAATGCTGGAATGCTATGCCTTCAAAATCACCAAAAATATATTATGGTTAGCGCTCCCCGATGAAATCTGTTTGATATCTTTTCCGTACTACTCTACAGAAGCATTTTGTCTATGGGTATAAAGGCACTAAGTTATGACTTTAGCACAGAATTGACCTAAAACAGCAGTATTAAATCCTCGTGTCATTAACCCGCACGAACAAAATTTGGGTTAGAACTTTTATACTATAGTTAGTTTGATCCATGATAATAGCGAAAGGTAACTTAAAAATTCCAAAATTGATTTTTTATGTTACAGTTCGATCGAACGGTGAAATCGCTCACTTTTTTTCACCCTTCCGTCAAACTATGTTTCTGATGTGCAAAGTCGAGACGTCGGAGTGATAGCTAGTTGTTGTTTTCGGCTTTCGGCAATAAAATACGTTGGAACCTTAAGCTGCGAGGAACATATTTCTTTTCACGTGTTGAGTCCGTAGCATAGCCACAAGCGAAAGCAAAACCACCAACATTGTCGCCTAAGCTCAAACAAGTCACGTTTTCAAATATTATTATTAAAAAAACCTCAGTGATTTAGAAATATTACAAGGTATAGTTTTAACGGAAGACGTATAGAACGTGCTTCGCTTTCAGAATAATTGCTCATGCCAAGAAACACCAATTTCGTTCTCAGAGTCTTTCGTCTTTTCTTTCCTTACAATTTTGACCACATGCGTGATCCGCTGTCTAATTTTCCAACGTTGTACAAGAAGTGGGAATAAATTCTCTGCGACGCGCCCCTTTTTTTCACACCGACCAAACCATCTTTGACTAAGTAGCCTTTGACGCTACTTGTGAGAGAACGTAGGACATTGCAAGGACTCAAAGCAAAAGTACATGAGCTTTGAAACTTCATAGTACTCCCAGTGGGGGCGGGGGGAGGGGGGTGGTTACTCCCTTACTAAAGCCCTATAGGTATGTCCCGCCCAACCGGGTAGGGTTTTTGTGTCGTTTTGGTCTGAATACGCCTTGCCCATTTTGGTTTGGAATCGGCTGTGGTTTTCGAGGGAACTACGGAGTGTATGAACGTATTTATCTTTTCAATTCCAAATGACTGAGAAGGAAAGAGAATTTTCTCTCATATCATATTCCATACAGTAGGTGACAGTAAAAACACTGCTTCAGTTCGATTTACACAGCTTTGATCTGAAAACATTCTCAGTTTCGAGAATAATTTATTCTAAGCCATAAGAAAAGATTTAATTAGAAGTTGGAATTTTTTCGCTATTTCTCTTTTACTCTTTGCATACAGTTCATTTTATTTGCTGAAAAGGAAGCCTTAGAATTGAACAGGTTTGATCAATTCACGCTCGCGCGTACTAGCCTTTTTTAAAACTTTATCCCCGGAAGGACATCGGTGTGCATAGGGAATAAGTCAGCACAGAATTTGATTGTCGGCGAATCCTGTAATTGTCCATCGTTTGGCTAGTTTCAGGCTAGCCGTTGATTTACTCGTTTTGCTTCTTTGGGACTGAGTCTTATTCCCCCAAAGAGAGAGAAAAAGTGTGTTGAAAATTGTTTCCAATCAAAGATTTGTGAACTCGCGTCTGGCAAACTCTTCAACTGTTTATATATACACAATTATAAGAACCTTATAACTTCATCTGAGCTTAACTAGTGTCTTTTGGTCCATCACTTTCAAAGCAACTGCTCCACAGAATGTCACTGATAACACGTAACGCTAAAGAGGATCGTAGCATGCGGTTGATTCCTCACGGCCCCTGTTCAAGCATTTTTTCTGGCATACTGACTGTATATTTCAACTGTTAGTACTTTCCTAATATACGTGCGACTTACTAGGGTGCTTCCTCGGGATTTCGCCCAGAAGGATTTCGTCTTCTTGGCGAGATCCCAGCGGGGGCAATTATATGGCCTTTTCATTATGGACCTGAGCCTGTGATTAATTAAAAACAAAAACTGGTCAGAGGATTACTATTAAAAGAACACGTCACCTCAGTGAGTTGTACTCTTGAGGCTGCAATGCAGTTAGGTGACACTGGTCAGCGGATACCCTTTTTGACAGCTGTCCACGCAGATTGTATATAACTTGGACACCTCGCTAGCAATGCCCGGTCTTACAAGAAAACAGCTAATCAGAGCGCGCGTACTATAAATAATTGTAGCTATGTAATAAAGATATGTGCCGCCCTAACTGGATATGTTTTTTTTGTGTGTCGTCGAATTGGTCTGAAAATAGGAATAGATTCTACTATACTTATAATGGTCTTAAATTGGGTTTGGTTTTCAAGATAATCTCCCCGAGAGCAAATAAAAGGATTTGAAGAACCGAGCGACGCAGCACTACCAAGAATTCCTAAGAGAAACACTTGGCCAGGCAACACAGCAATACCTAGAATTCCTAAGAGTAACCCCTTGGCGTATGGGATACGCATTTGGCCTTGTTGCTTTAGTGACCAAGTCTGCGTACCCTCGACCTACGATGACCGCCATGAAACCTTGATCGAAATAAAGTTGACAAAAGAGCAATACCTGCCTTTCTTTATTCCAGGACAATGGGGACAACAGAAACAACAAGGACATAAATGACAACAGGGACAACCAGGACAACAGCGACAACCAGGAAAACAAGGACGGGGACAACCGGGACAACAGGGACAACCGGGACAACCAGGACAACCGGGACAACAAGGACGGGGACAACCGGGACAACAGGGACAACCGGGACAACCAGGACAACAGGAACAACAGGGACAACAAGGACAACAAGAACAACAGAAACAACAAGGACAACAGAAACAACAATGACAACAGGGACAACCAGGACAACAGGAACAACCGGGACAACCAGGACAACAGGAACAACCGGGACAACCAGGACAACAGGAACAACAGGGACAACCAGGACAACAGGAACAACCGGGACAACCAGGACAACAGGAACAACCGGGACAACCAGGACAATTATAGGGCCAACCAAAAACAACACGGACAATAGGCACAACCAGGACAACTGGGACAACAAAAACAACAAGGAAAGAAATGACAACGGGGACAACAGAGACAACAGGGACAACAAATTATTCACCTGTGTGTTTTTTGTGTTTAGAGCCAAGAGCATTTTTAATAAAGGCTTTTACGCAGATTTTAAGTCATCGTGTTCGTAAGGAAACACGCTCTGTACTTAAAAGTACAGTGCGTGTTGCAATAAAGAATACCGCATTACTTTGAGCTTTTGCGTGTGCTTGAGTGTGGGTTTCTCTGTTTATCCTGGGGTAAGGGTCTTTCCGTCGTAATTTTTCCCCAGATCCAGCGTGAGTACTGAGCTCCGTGGTCCTTTTGCATCTCTAAGTAGCCTGCGGACGTACTGTTATCACGCATGTGAAGTTGCTCCTCCTGGTCGGGAACTTCGTCTATCTCATTTTTTTCTCTTCCGGGTTGTTTCCTTATTGTGGAATATCTCTTTGTTTCCGTTTCCCTTCTCTTCGGTTAACGAAGATAGCGAAGATGGCAGATCTTTGTTTTGATACTGGTAAGGGCTACAAGCGCTTTGATACTTTGAAGGGTTTATATCAGACCTTCTGGGCTGAATGTCTTAAAAGCAAGAAAAAAAGGAAACAGAGAAAAAATGTGTATTATGTAACTTAAAAGTCTCGAATCGTGAGGAGTGTTCAGTGGGTAATAGTAAAGAAATAAATGTAACGTAGTGTAAGGGAGTTCTTTGACGGGGTTAGCTCACTAGCAGGAGTATACCAGGACTCTGACAAAGCTTGGATACTTTCCTTCTTTTAATGTCCGTCACCAACTACTACAGCTCAACAACTAATAGCGACCTGCGCCAAATACTGGCAACTCATATTAGTACAACGTACGTGCGTTTAGGCTTGCTGACCATGACAGTTACGAACCAACTAATAGCGACCTGTGCCAAATACTGGCAACGTAGGTACGTTCAGGCTTGCTGACCATGTGAGTTACGAACGCCCTTCTTAGTAACTCATGCGAACTTCATGTTGATCACAAAAGTGGGTAAAAACAAACTGACAAGATTGAACAATTCAAGCACTAGGAAACCAATAAACTGGCTTGACAACTAAACCCACGAGGCTCTATTTTAAACCCAAAGAGGAACACCGATGTAGGTAACAATCAAGGTCAGCTATGGTCCCAAAACGAACCCACAAAGACTGGCAATCAAGCTTAATTAAACCTCAAGATAAAAGACAGTTATGTCGATTATGTCGACAAACCCATTAAAAAGGTAATGACATCAAACAAAACCTGATAACACAAATACGGATTAACCTTGATCTTAAAACCTAAACATAACGAAACCCTAAGCACGAGCGAAAACTCGGGAACAAAGAAACTATCGTTAAATATCCTAATGATAATGGCTTTTAAAACAAACACAATATTACTTCACAACAATTTTTTCCATTGGATTTGGAGGATTGGGATAAGGAATGGGGAGAGAGGTCGGTTCCCGAGAGCGCTGTCGCGTTGATTGGGTCCTCATATGGTGATGTACAGTTTAGTGCCTTGGGGAAGATCAGATTGATTCCCCATAGGGATAAATATTATACCATTCACTTCATTACAGGGCTGTCATTCTAATCTTCCTTAATACAAGCTAACTCAATCCTCCTTCGACTCGAGTACAAGCGGTACTTCCTATGCAGGAACATCGCCACTTCAACACTGTCGCCCACTGGTCTGCAAGGATATTTTTTTCTACCTTGCGTCCAAGCAGTTTCCCTTTCGAGTAACCTTTTAGCAAACGCGTTATTGTCCAACCTCTTTCCTTGTCGAATAGCGTTAACAAGTTCTTCAATAAAAAGCTCCCACCGCGGTTTGTAGTAATCGTTTACCAAGCCACTCCACATCTTGTTGGCGTAGTCGTCAAACTCCCCTGTAGGTCCCCACAGAGTAATCTGAATGCGTGCATTATACTCGTAAAGCTTAACTTCTTCTGGCGTTGTTCCCATGGCTTTGGCGGAGTTGAGCCAGCATCCCAAAAGAAATTTCTGATTGGTTTGAAGTATTTTGTCCAGGTCATCAAACATGCTAAGTAGTTTGATACCGATTTGAGCAACTTGAGGAACCGACTTGGCGTTGTAGGCTCGTATAAGGTCATGGTAGAGTGGAATCACCAGAAGATGTAACGCCTGTCTGCTGATGTCAACAAGATCATATCTAAAAAGAAGTTTCAAAGCTCATCAACAATGAAAGAAGTACAAAGAAATAAATTAGAGTATGTATAAAGTATGATACAGACACTTCTGAAATTCCGCTCAGATGTTCTTTGGCCAAAATAAGCACTTCTAATGGCTGAGACGGATTACATTTTCTTGCTTTCGTAACTTCGCAAATTTTGCGACAATAGGGAAACAGAAAATTGCGTGATCTTGATTCGTTCACGGCCGATTCTATTAATACTCGGTAATGAATAGTTATCCCTTTGGCCCTTGAAGGCCCTGTTGTTAATGGCATTGTCTATTTGGTTATCAGTAGATAATACAATTTGACTAGTGTAACCCTATGAAGGGGTGGGGGTGGGTTCACTCCCTTATTTGGCCAATGCGTGTATCGGCCGATGAACAAGTTATGGTTTTCAAGGTCCTTATTCAAAAGGGTATAAAATTTCACTCTTTCGCGTCTTAACCAGTGTGTCTTTTTGGAAAGCCGAAAACCTTTAAAAAAAGTGTAAAAGTTTACAACGCGCGGTTTACATGGGTGGTACCGACAATGTATTTTCAAAAAAGTCTAAATCTATTTTCAATTGTTAGTCTAAAAGACGCTTAATTTTTTGTGCCAAACGAAACGAGTCAGGTTCGTAAAGCTGGACTCTTGTCTAAAACAGGATAGCGAAATGAACAATTTCTGCCTTAAACAGGGTCGGGGTTAAAGCCTTCTGCGCCTGAATGCCCCCCCCCCCTCTCCAACCCTCCTGGGGATTGCGACGCTCTCCTTTCCACCTAAAATGTTACGTATTTGGTTCAGCTTATAGTGCAACCGACGATGAGAGGCTTTTTCATTTCACACTGATTTTTACGAAGTTAAAGCATGCAAGATACTCGGGAGGTGGAGATAATTTTGGCGGTGCAATATCAAGTTTTGCTAAACTGTCTCATGCAACAGCTCATTTACAGATTAATGCAACCTAAATAACTGCCAAGCCATCTCTCGAAGGGCTCTCTGCTCATTTTTTTACAGTCTTACGTTAAATTACCTAAATGTTTTCGAGTGAGAAAAATCCTTAGCCACCGAGATCAATGCGTCCCATGCTTTAAACACATCTTCCGGTTTGTACCATATATGTGGAGCAATCCTTAAAGTTGGTTGTCTGACGAAAACCGACTGGTGCTTGAAGCCAATACAGTAATATGTGCAGTTATAGACCGAGTGGATAAGTAGCTTCCACGCCTTCGCTATGTTATCGTTTGTGTTGCCATATCTTCGAAGGGCATAGTATTTTATCCACTCCTCTAACTCCACAGGATTAAAGGCGTTTATCCTGTAACCCATTTCGTTCATCAGCTCATACATCATATCGTTTTGGTCTATTCCTTCTGGTGTTAAGCCAGTGCCTATCATTGTACTATTAGGGCTGTTGAATGCTTTAACTGGCCCTGAAAACCAAAGCACATATTGGGGAGTCCGACTAATGGGGAAGAATAAACGAAAACGAAAATGAAATAAAAATGAAAACAACAAGTGAGAAAAGGACAATGAAACAATAATGTGTGACATCAATGCAATTCCTCTTATTTTGAGAATTTTTGGAGAGCTCTGACAGTATTGCAAAATACAAGATAAGAGGAAACTTAATTCATATGATGACATATGTCGTGGAAATTACGACCACCATAATTGTCTCTCTTCTGTATAGCATATTAATTGATGTATTTCAACAGCTTTATACTATTGTACCTGTTATGACACTTTGTATAGTTCCAAACAGTCCCAATTGTCCACCAAAGTTTTGTAACATACACCAGATGAATGGTTGTCCATAGAATGACTCAGTACGCGACCAGAAAGGTTCGATATCGGCCATCAGATCTAGGACAATCATGCGTCCCCGAGGAACTCCTAAAAAGAGAATCATTAATGGTTTGCAAATTTTTAAATTTAAAAATAGCTCTCACAATGTTGGATTCTTATTGATTTGATGATGATAATGATGATGATGGAGATGGTGGTGGCGGCGATGATGATGATGGTGGTCATGATTATGATCATCATCGTCATTGTCGTCATCATCATCGTCATCGTCATCATCATTATCACCATCAGTATATTCGTGGCTGTTCCTAGATATAGGCGACACAGTAACAAAAACTAGAAGAAGTTAAAGTAATTACCATCATCCGTCATCATCATAATCAACAAAATCATCTACTTTATTTTACGAGGATATCACATAACATGCTTCTAAGCCGATAAGCTGGTTACCCTCGAATGCCTGGTCAAATTTGTGTTTCGGAGATACTTTTTCTTGTGAGACATGGCAAAGAGCCAACAACAGGCTCAACTGAAATAAACAGGTAGGGCTATCACAGTGTAAGAACCAAGCGACTGAGTACTGATTCATTAACACTAACGTCAACGTTCCTGCTTCATTTTAGATTTCGTAATGAGTTCATTTGGTTTTCAATATTGAAGTGGTTAATTCATCGAAACCTCTTAAGCTAATTATTGAAGAGCCCCATCTATATATACAACACCATGCCGTTATCTGAGCATGCCAGCAATCATGAGAACACGAGAGCCGAAGGTCTCGCGCGTATGCGAGCCACAAAAGACTGGAGCCTTGGCCTGTACCGATTTTCAAGTTGAGAGCTTGCTGGCAGGCTTATTCCTTTTTACAGAATCATACCTTCTTCCTTAATCTGTCTTTATTGACTACTTACAAACCTTGTAAGAGTGCTTTCACTTGAGATGGCTTCCAAAAGTTGGTGTCCCGAAAGAGCCATCCTTGCATGAGCCAAACGGCATTAGGATCACCAGCCACCATGGCCCGGTATACAGCACTACTGAGCCCGGATAGATAGCTGGGTTTTTTGGATGTGGGCGTCATTTCATTGAAAGCGTCAGCGTTGTATATGTTGTTGGTACCAAATTCGGATATCTGTTCTTTGATAAAGAGGGACCCTACTGTCTGTTGCAAATGAAGTATAAAACAGATTTCCAGTAATTACCGAGCAGCCTTAAATTAACCACCCATTTTAAAGAGACCCAAAACAAAGACTGTCAAAAGACCGATTGGCTGTAATGTAAAGGTTGGGTGCCAGAATTAGATACAATCAGTGGCTCCGGGCTCGATTCCTGAGTCTTCACACTAAAATGAGGAGAACGTGCAGATCAATTTATGTTTCTGCAAGAGAAACTGCCCACCTACCCCTCCCCTAAGTCAACATTTTTCCCTAAGTGAGAGGTAAGTATTGATGTTAGCTTAGGGTAGCGGTAGGTGGACAGTTTCCCAGAAACATAAATTGATCCGAACGTACTGCCTTTCTTTGCGCCTTCTCGGATAAGGACGAAAAGCCGTTGGCCTCGTCAAACAGCTCTACGAGACTAGCTATAGTGTCATGCTCATAAGACGCATTCCTTTAAACCGTGCTTCAGAATTTTTCATTTAGATTTGTAGCTTAAAATGTACGTGTACATACAAGTGACTTACCTTAAATAAGGGATCAGTGGGGTGAAGATGATAACCACAGCAGAAAGTGTTGTTAAATCGACCCCATCGGCTCACTCTGGACAATTTTGCCTGTGGATACACTCTTTTCAGACCATCCGGCACAAAACCAGCAAATCCAGGGAGAACGGGAGCCATGCCAAGATTCCTCATCGCTGTAAGAATTTTGTGTTGTAGATCAAGTTGATTCTTACGCCACGATGGCGGAAGAGGACCTCCCCACCCACGTATGTTCCCCATTCTTGCCCTGGAAGAAAAGACTCGATTACCTTACTGTGGAAGGAAATCTTAGTGGTTACAAATTGAAGAGGTTTGTAAAGTGTGGAAAGAGGTCTCAGCTAAGTGAATCGTGATATAGGTAATGTAAGAATCCATCGGTGATGTTTAGTTATTTGTGCCTTTTTTTCGGAACCTTTCCAGAAAAATACTGGGCTACCGACAGTCAGCTATTGTAGTAAGTACTTGCTTAAAACTCCGGCATACTGCTGAAGGCATATAAGTTTCTTAAATCCAAATACAAACTTAATAATGAATTTGCAGTTGTTATCCTAAGCCCTCTGTGTTTTTGCGCATCACTTTTTAATGAACGACTGCACTACTGAAACACTGAAACACTAAGGCATAGCAATTCAATTCTTTAGAGCGCTATTAAAGTTAGAGCAAGGAAATTAATATGAAGTAAAAGTATAAGATTTCTGCATGCTAAAAAGAGATTTTTCTTTACAACCAGACTGCTAAGGATTAAAGCATAATGATTACTGGTCCTTCAAAAGTAACACAGCTTACCATGCCAAGAAAGCTGGGCCTCCAAAGAAAGTATCTAGTTCTTGCTGTGTGAGTCCAATTTTGTGATACACCCTCTGCCATATTGCTTCCTGTCCAGTGAAGGCAAGTGGAAGATTGATGCCATTCAGTGCCATCCAATCAATTTCTCGCTGCCAGCGAGTCCAGTTCCACCAGACAGATGAATAACTAAAGGTGCACACGTTCTGATAGTAGCGAAATCTGACAGAGAAACACAGAGACAAGTTGGCCAATGGAAAGTTTCGCGAAAACAGGCGGGTGTACTGTATTAGCGTGTCACATTGTGTCCCCCCCCCAACCCCATATCTATTTTTACCTCTATCAAGGTAGTAAAAGGTTCGGAATGAACATCGATTTGTTTGTAGTGAGAACGCTGGGATTTCACTTGGAAAATTCATGAAGTATGCTGTGAACCCTGCCTATTTCAGACCAATATCATGATTTCCCAACCCTATTCAGGTCCTGGACCGTTTTCCTCAAGAGATGAACTAGGATAAAAAAGAAAGAAACACATCCAACGTTTAAAGGCTATTCCCAATTTTAGACCAAAGGGATTCAAAGCCCACACCCTTTGTGTTATGGACCCGTTCGAGTTTTGAGGAGAAGGGGAAAGCTGTTGTGGGCGTTAACCTCAACTTTAACCACAGTCGAACCTCTGCTAACAGTCACCTCTCTATATTGCCGCTTAACTCTTAGCTTTGGGCTTCTTCCAACGTGGGGAAGAAACGCATCACGAAGCCCAATTAAAGAACGTCTGTGTGTTACTGAACTCTGTCCTCGAGTTCATGTTCGATCACGTGTCAAGTTAGCCCTTTTGGAGCGGAATATAGGTTTGAATTTAGGGTTGTCACCACTTACATTGGAAAACCGGTCGGTTCAAGGTTTGGGTAAATGTTAGGCAAAATTCCGATCTGGAAATTTCTTTCCCGAATCGCGTTTTCCGTTTGCACAAATCCGTTCCATCTACCGAAAAACGGCCGCGAAAGCCTGGAACTGATATCAAAGTTGGCTAATTTCCGTTTGTAACAACAGGGCTACCTTTTGCGATGTTCGGTTGCTCCCAGAATTTTTCCGCAGGAAACAACGACCCAAAAAGTCTTGTTCCATTTACTGATCGGATTTTCTGGAAACTTTTGTAAATGGTAAACAACCAAGGTTTCATTATGCATGGATAGATCTGTATGCTAATACTTAAATCCTTTACGGAAAACGTGACGTGTCAAACCATGCATCTCAGTCATCAAGAAGAGAAAACCTCTGGCACACAGGGCATGAGCCTGATAACTGATGAACTGTGCTATACATTAGAGTACCTGTACGGTAGGGTTATCCTTGTCAAGTCTTTCACAGTAGGAAAGGGTTTGGGTATCTTTAACTGGTCTCCACTCCACGAAATGTGCGCGTGACAATAATTCTTCAAGAAATGTTGTAGACCTAGCGAGCACGCTACACCACTTGTTCCCTTTATCTGTAGCTTGGATTCTGCAGTGGTTTTGTACTCAAATTCGTCCAAATGTGGCGGTCCAAAGAAAGGCTGGACAACGATATCGAACTTCGAAGCATGTTCAGGTAGAAGTCGAGTTATAAGATCTTTAACTGCTTTAGTTTGTACGTCCGAAGATGCGTGACTTCTGATGTGATGAAACTCGTTGAACATCTTGTGATCGAGCTTTATCGCAATAGAAAAACCATTTAGCAAAAGAAAAGTTAAAAGATGGGCAAAAGCGCTTGTTGACTGCATAGTGGAGGTAACTCTGGAACTGTCACTGATGCGCAACACGTATTGAAAAGTCATAAACCCGATGACCAATACGTGTTAACTTCCTTGTTTTAGAGATGCTTTCACTTCAAGTCAGCATATAATTAAGCAAGGCGATGCGTGACATGTAACCACAGGCGGCCCAGACGTAGTATGTGTCACTGAATGAATATATTAATATCCACATGGACAAATTAATGCGATGAGTCGTCGAAACTCCCATGGACTAAAATAGTCTAAAAGTCAAAATATAACAAAACAAAGCTAAGATACCTTCAACTGAACGTATCCTTGTCTTTCCTGGCCGGTTTAAGAGGCATTTTGTTGAGTTTTGAAATTGTAGGTACTATCCACTAAAGAAGAATTAAAGGCTGGCTACAAAACTAACAGACCATCTCCACGCGCCTTCACACGAAGCGCTATCAATTCGAGAATAATCGACGAATCCGCTCCAAATAACCATCGGCTAATCTGCAGGTAACGTGTGCTCCTGCTTCTGGCTCGCTTGCTCAACAAAACCCATCGCAACTGCACAATAATTGCTCGCTCATCAACAACGTAACCACTGTTGACCTTTACGCTTCGATATGACCGCAAACGACCAGGTTTAATACGCGACGTGAATATTCAAGCTTAGCGACCGCGTTCGCGCAACAATGCAGCACTTGCTATGGGAGGGATGGTACTATGGCTTCTAGGTCAATCGACTGACCGAAGGTTCGCTGCGTTAGTTTTGACCAGAAAACAAAAGGAGATCGAGGGACCGTCCGTAAGTTTTCAACAGGGCAGCCCTGGTTTTCAAGTTCGAATTCTTCTAACGTTCGCTGTCTCAGCTGCTGTCACATTGTTCGTCCAGCCGCTTGCATAGGTTCTTGACTCTACCAGACTTATTTGCTTAGATTAACAACGTCTTACTCCATAATATGTTGTCCAAACTGGTGAAGGAGGACGAGAATTTTCCGCCCGGGAAAAAGGCAAAATCTGGCCCCCGCTATGCAGCTGAATAGAAGATACAGCTGAAGATATCGTAAATTAAAATTTATGTGCGCGATATCTTTTTTCATTATTATTATTATTATTCTCAAAACTCAGGGGCACCCAACGATGATTTCCCCCTAAATGCATTGAAAGCACATTTAAGGCTGTCCAGAGTACTTTTGATCGAAAAATGCATTCTAAACAGCGCTTACATAAATTTAGTCAGGAGGGCTAAAAGCGAAGCTAATGATTTATAGTTTGCTCGTACTAAATATAAAATATATCGTGTAATGCTAAGCGGAGAAGGCAACGAGACAGGGCCACCCAACGACTGTTTCCTCAAATACTTTCAATTGAAAACACTTCTGTAGCTATTTATTAAGTGCTTTTAGCTCTATAGAAATGCATTCTAAGTGGTGCTTTAAAATTTGCATCTCAGTGTTCGGCCATTCTAGAGGAACTTGAGTCTTTTCGAAATTACGAGGAATTCAGAATTATTTTCCCGAAAATTTTAGATGCAATTTAACGTATTACGAAGGAGATAATTTTTCAGATACCTTCTTTCATCACATTTTTGAATCCGAAAATTTTAGGATTCCATTTCACTCTCTACGAAAAATAGCCTAACCCGGTGAGTGAAATGTGAAAAATGAAAAGTTGGATGCCCTTGACCAGAACTGTGAAAAACAACAATAGGTCTAATTGCAGCACACTTTCTTGTACATTTCCTTGCCGTTGATTTGCATGACTGCAACGTGAAACGTCCAGAAAACTTCCTGGTTTTCACTTTTTATGGAGAACATGTGGTACATGTTCTTGTTCACTTTTTCCACTGCCGCTCATTTTTTTTAGCTCCGCTATAAGATTCGTATCTGTTCGGTGCTCCTTGGGCAAATTGGATCTTTTTAAAAATTACAAGGGCTTCAATATTATTTTCCCGATTGATTGACCTGGAAGCAATAGTACCATCCCTCCCATAGCAAGTGCTGCATTGTTGCGCGAACGCGGTCGCTAAGCTTGAATATTCACGTCGCGTATTAAACCTGGTCGTTTGCGGTCATATCGAAGCGTAAAGGTCAACAGTGGTTGTTGATGAGCGAGCAATTATTGTGCAGTTGCAATGGGTTTTGTGGAGCAAGCGAGCCAGAAGCAGGAGCACACGTTACCTGCAGATTAGCCGATGGTTATTTGGAGCGGATTCGTCGATTATTCTCGAATTGATAGCGCTTCGTGTGAAGGCGCGTGGAGATGGTCTGTTAGTTTTGTAGCCAGCCTTTAATTCTTCTTTAGTGGATAGTACCTACAATTTCAAAACTCAACAAAATGCCTCTTAAACCGGCCAGGAAAGACAAGGATACGTTCAGTTGAAGGTATCTTAGCTTTGTTTTGTTATATTTTGACTTTTAGACTATTTTAGTCCATGGGAGTTTCGACGACTCATCGCATTAATTTATCCATGTGGATATTAATATATTCATTCAGTGACACATACTACGTCTGGGCCGCCTGTGGTATAAGGTGTATCACTCCCGCAAATGATCCCCAGACCCCAAAGGATCCCTCAAATGAGCCACAAATGATCCTCGAACCAAATGATCCCCATTGGTGAGCGCAAATGATCCCGAGAGGAAAATTGGAATTGCATGGACTCAAGTTACTTGAGTCTATCAAGTTTAATCAGAACAAAAAGTATTAAACTGAATAAATTTTACCTCTCAAAAAAATGCATAAAAGGACTTCCCTGAACTAAAAAATCACATTAAAAGCAATGTAGTGTCTTGCTTAATTACTGGTTAACATTCATCTAACCTGCACAGAACTTAAACGTACTATACAAGCAATTTGCCAAATCGATCTATCGGATACTGTCCGCGACCCTAAATGTCAACTTGAGAAAATATTTACTTTTGCAACCGCGATAGTCTCTGAAAACAGAAACTTATCGGACCAATCAAAGAGAATAATTCACTCACTTGCGAACCCCCTTCAATAGGAATATTCTTTATTAACAAGCACCATAATATCCGCTTGTTGGTTCTTTCGTTTGTTATTTTCTGATTTTCTTGGTCACTCTCTCCAGCGGCAAAGGCACAAGGAATGAATACACAGGCTAGTGTCGACAGCGTCCACATGACAAGTCGCAACATTTTCATGAGCTGTACGTAGCTGCTATATATTTCGAAACGTTAACTGAAACCCGGCACAGAGCGATAATCAGAAGTCGTAACGTACGATCGACTTCCGATAACTCGAACCTTCAAGGGAAATCGAAAAAGGTTCGAGTTATCGGGAGCTCGAAGAAAATAGCCGGAAGTAAGGAAAAAACAGTCTTTACTGCACAGTGAGTATTCTAATCACATTTAATAGTAAAAATGTTGAGTGAAAATTAAAAGATACTGTTAGATTATAAATCAGAACGTAAAGTAACAAAACGTTGCCTAAATAGAGCATGCATTTTACTTTTTGAGAAGTAAAGCTATTTCACGTTAGATTTGTGGCAAACATCATCAGCCTCCTCTACCGATCCACTAGTAAACTATATGCCTACAACACGTCAATGGGAAATTCAAAATTCAATGTTTCGGAGGCAGTACACTCTTTTTTCCCGACTTTTTAAGGGCTCAAAACATGGTTCGAGTTATCGAGGGTAAAATTATATAGAAATGATCTGAGGGGAAACAAAAAATACTTCGAGTTAGCGGGAGTTTCGAGTTATCGAGGGTTCGAGTTACCGACGGTAAAATTACAGTAAATGTATGACGGAAATCCAGGGGAAATCGATTTTGGTTCGAGTTAGCGCGAGGTTCGAGTTAGCGAGGGTTCGAGTTATCGGGAGTCAACTGTATTTCCGTACTTCCGGCATTTTGACTTCTGACTATATAGGGTCCCGTGTAGATCCGTGATGGTCTCTGAAGTGTACTTTAAAACTTCAGAAAAGAAATAAAATTAAATGTTCTTAAAATAAACAATTCATTTGTCCATCAGGCTCCTGCTATGTACAAGGTGTCTGGCTTTCTATTTCCAGACAATTTCAGCTCCTCTAAGAAGACAAGTTTCTTGCTTGACGTCCTTTCTGTCTTCAATTTTTACAGCGACGAAACTTTAATTGCCAAAAGAAGTAGTGCGAGTATGTATCTTTTTTTATTTATTTTATTGTCTTACGTGTTGTTCAAGTACTCAGCACCGTTCTTCATCAATGGCTAAAATCCATTCCATTCCTCACCTTTTCACGGGTTCATTTGCGGTCAAAATTAGGGATCATCTGCGGTCGAGGGTCATTTGCGGTCCATTTTGGGGATTACTTGCGGTCTGGGGATCATTTGCGGTACCGCACACGAATCGAGACACTTTGTCTCTGTAAAATTCTGATCTTTTTACTTAAACTGAAGAAAAATTCTTGCCCATTTTAACATGATTAAAAAGTTATACCTTGAAAACAACTATGAAAGAAGGTTTTTTGATCGCACATTTTACCTCTGCCTGCTGTAAGTCAGGCAACGTCACGGGGCAACTGGCAACAGACAAAAAAGGCCACAGACCTAAAAATGCTTCATTTAATCGTTCAGATAGTTAACTCATTCTTTATCACTTTATTTACGAGGCTGGTTTCCCTATCATCGTTAATAGATAAAAAATATGTACCAATAATGATAATAATAATAATAATAATAATAATAATAATGACACAACTGTTTGACGTCAATTGCAACGATAGCTGCAATTGAACGAAGGATCGCTGAGACTGTAGGTAGACTTCAGCGACTCTTGAGGTTGGTTTCCGGGATCAAGTTCAAGTTCAAGTTTATTGTTTTGCCATATTTCAAACCAAATAAAATACCTTAAATATTAAAGTTCTTTGCAGCTGTCGTCCTAATCTTCCTTAATACAAACCACCTCAATCCTTCTCCGACGTGAATATAAGCGGTACTTGCTATGCAGGAACCTCGCCACCTCAACACTGTGTTCCACTGGTCGGCAAGGATATTCTTCTCTACCTTGCGTCCAAGCAGTCTCTCGTTCAAGTAACCTTTTTGCGAACTCATTATTATCTAACTTCACCTTCTGGCGAACAGCAAAAACAAGCTCTTCGATGAAAAGCTTCCATCGTTGTTTGTAATAGCCTTTTACCAAGCCACTCCACATCT